CACAGGCCCAGAGAGGCCCCGGCACGCCACCCATGCACCCCCCCACACACACAGCACCTCCCACCATGAATGTCACATCAGGCCGACCAGCCAGCACCCCGTCGAAGTGAAGCCACGCCCCCGACCGCCGCCACGTACTACCAACGATCACACACACACAACCACAGCCGACCCCCCGCCAGAACCCAGCAGCCACCCCAGCCAAAGGGCTGGCCATCGAAACCAGGAACCCTGATCAAAAGATCCAAACAATCCAGGGAGAACCGGTGCACCAGCTCCACCCCCAATCGCCCCCCAAGGCCCAATACCCACCCACAGCCCAGACCCAAACCAGGCAGCCTACCCACCACCCCCAACCCCACCCCCAACCCCAAATGTCAGACGGAGAATGAGGGTTTAAGGAAAACTGGAAGACCCAACTCCTCCCTCCTCCCACTCAAATACGATGTTGATGCATGTTGTTATATAGTACGTTTAAAATGATAGATAGTAATGGTAGATAGTGGTATTACAAAAAAAGATCTTTCACATCTTGTCTATCAGGACACGATTTGAGACATCAAAAAAACTCTACCAGCAAGCTCAATTAAAACATGATTACATTGCATTTGACATGAAGGTGTTGAGATTTGTCCATGAGTGTTTTTTTCTGATCAGCCACAGTTTCTGAAGATGTTGTTTCAGCCAGCAGTTCTGGTAAGCTTGCACAGAAAGTTCTCCCGGGGGGGCGATAGATGAAGCTTTTGTCCTTGGGTACATATGTCCCAGGAGAAATTGATAGTCGGCCTGTCTCCGAGGCCGTCAGGAGTCAGATTTAGATAAGCTTGATTCTTGTTTTTTCTTCAGGCAGACAGATTACCTTTTTTCTTCAGCCATGAGTCCATCTGGGCATTCTGGTTCCGAAAATGCCTAATTGTGTGATTCCATTCCACTGATCCATGCTATGAGTCTCCTTCAAGGTCGAACCCACCACGCTGACGAGTCCCAGAAGCCGCAGGTGGCCTGCGATTCTCATAAATTGCCTCCACCTTACGGTTAAGCTCGTAAACCAGACAATTTAAAGTTCCTACTGCACGGACCAAACCTTCACACTGACTCGGAAGCTTTTCCATGGCCGAAACTGCTGCCGCCGTCTTCTTCAAAAGTCGATAAAACAGAGCCCCGCCGATGCCAAAAAGCAGAGTCCCTGCTATCATAATTCCAAATATATAAACGTCTTCAACATCCTCCTGAGACAGGACTGAGAGACACATCATCTGCCACACTCCCCACGAATCCATGACGTATCCCACAGCGTGAGTCTCAGCTGGACACGCTGGTTCTCCAGGACCTTGTCGCTTTGATGAAAAAATCTTATCAATAGAGTTGAACGCCCACGATACCAAATCCATAATCTTCTTAATTTAGACGAGACTATATATATGTCTCTCGGTTGGTCTGGGAACGCCTTGGAGTCCTCCCAGAGTAGCTGGAAAAGGTGGCTGTGGAAAGAGATTTCTGGACCTCGTTGCTCAAGCTGTTGCCCCCAAAACCTGACTTTGGAACAAGAGGAAGATGATAGATGGATGCAACTGAGGCATTTTGTGAGGTCTAACTCTGATCGTTTTCCTTTGTACCCCTCTAAACATTTTGTGGCTAAGATTTTGGAATGTAGCAAGAGCTACACTTCTCAGTTCACACCATGAGACCATTTTGGGCTCTCTTAAACTGAAATGGGAAATGGACTTGGAGGAACCCATATCAGAATCAGTCTGGCAAAAAATCCTTCAGAACATTTATTCAGCCTCAATTTGTCTGAGACATATTGTAATTCCATTCAAGCTGGTGCACCAGCTGCACTGGTCCAAAGACAAGCTGTCCATGATTAAAACTGACCTTGACCCTGCATGCAATCATTGTAAACAATCTCCAGCTACACTCCTGCACACATTCTGGACCTGTTCCAAACCGTGGACCTATTGGTAATCTATTTTTGACACCTTCTCTGGGATATCGGGGCGGCTGTGGCTGAGTGGTTAGAGCAGTCGTCCTCCAATGCGAGAGTTGGGGGTTCGAATCCACCAGCAGTCAAATGTCAAAGTGTCCCTGGGCAAGACACTGAACCCCTCATCACCTCCAATGTGTGTCCCATCAGTGTTTGAATGTGATCTAAAGCACTGATTAGTCTCTTTAGAATGATTTGTTCAATTAGCTTTGTAGAGATCTAGTAGAGTGCTGTATGAATGGGTAAATGAGGCACAGATTGTAGAGTAAAGTGCTTTGAGTATTTTGAAATAAGATAGAAAGGTGCTATATAAGTACAGCCCATTTACCATATGTGGGAATATTGTGCACCCATCACTGTTCACCTCACTGTTTGGGGCGGTTCCTGTGGATACGACCGTCAGCAAATACAAGGATGTGAAGGCTTTTGGCCGTCTTCTGGACAGACTTGTTTTGTGCAGTTCAAAGGACCCACACCCCACAACATATGTGCACTGGATAAGAGAAGTGATGTATCGTATCCATCCATCATTTTTACCCCATCCTTCCTTTTCAGGTCGTGGGGGTCACCCACTTCTAGCCACCACTGTGTGAGAGGTGGGGGACACCCTGGACAAGTCTCCAAAGACAAACAACCATTCACTCTCTTACTCACCTAGAGACAATTTAGAGTTACCAATCAGTCTAACATGCATATTTCTGGTCTGTGGGAGGAAACTGGAGTACCCAGAGAAAACCCACGCACACACGGACAGAACATGCAAACTCCACCCAGAAAGGCCCCCAGCTGGGATTTGAATCGGGGTGACCTGGTCGCTGAGGTGGCAGCTCTACCAACTGCACCACCGTTCTGCTGTATATTCATCTGGAAAAAATTAGATATACCCTGAAAGTTTCTATAAAGATATAAAGGACACCTGGCAGCATTTTGTGTTATGTTGAAAACATGTCAATGCCTGCGTATCTTTGGGGTGGCTGAGTGGTTAGAGCAGTCGTCCTCCAATGCAACGGTTGGGGGTTTGATTCCACCAGCAATCACGTTGAAGTGTCCCCAGGAAACACTGAACCCCTCATTACCCATTATATGTGTCCCATTGGTGTATGAATGTGATAAAGAACAGATTAGTCTTTGTAAAGATAGAGTGCTGTATGTATGAGTAAGCAGAATGTGTTGTAAAGAGCTTTCTCATGATAAGAAGTACAGTCCATTTACCATTTCTGTGCGACTGATCAGGTGTGGGTGGGGAGGGGCAGGAGGTGATTTTGTTCAGTTTTTGTGTGTGCAAAAGAAAAATTTAATAAAAACACTTTGATACCCCCACCCCCCACAAGAAAAAAAAAAAGGTTCTGTTGGCATACTTGACAACACACAGCAAACAGTTTGGAGAGTTTTATTTAAAAAAAAATAATAATAAAAAATAAAAATCAACTACAGCATGAAATTGATACAGCACTTTATTTAAATTATGTGCAATTACCAGTATGTAATTTAAAAAAGTAAAAAATAAATAAATACACAGAAACATTTAAATAATAATGAAGAGTTTGTAAACTAGACTAAGTGGCTGCAGCAGAGAACTGTGTGCATACATTCATGTGATCATGTTCAGAATGACATGTTGTTGGACTGTAGCCACGGAGCTGAACATCAACTCTACACCGTCCACCATCAGACTGCTTCAGTTTCATGTGCACTTCTACAGTACAACCTCTGCTCCAGTACCACAAGATCCAGACTGCGTGGAACCAGTAGAGCTCAGGGATCCGCTCCACGGGATCACTGAACACTGCTGCAGCATTGCTTTGGGTCCAGTCATATCAGGAATGAGACAGAAGCAACGAGGTCCATCAGAACAGGAAGCCGTCAGACTTTAGAGGAGCTTCTCTTGGCTCGGAGAACTTCTTGAAGTCAATGTTGCAGATTGATTTTTGCAGGTGGACAGTTACTGCCACAAAAACATTTCATTTTTAGAACAGAGACTGATGTTTAGTTGATGCAACTAGAGCTGGGATCCACAACCAGTGGCTCTCAGACCAGCATGTCCCCCCACGATTCAAACCAGAGCGCTGTGATTACAAAACCATTACTGATGCATCTTCATGACTTTGGCTGATTTGACATAAACACTGATTCATATATTTTATAATAATATATATTACATTCTATTCTGAACAATGTAGCATACATGCTAACTTGACACGGACAAGGCTAAAGTAAAGCTAATGCAGTTAGCATCACTAGTAATGTCATCAGAACAGAGGAGTTGTGATAACTTCAGCTGCTCCTCAGACGATCTGCAGCGTTCAGGGATAGAAATAATAAGATGTAAAGTCAGAGCTTCACTGCAACATATTTCTACAGGAAACCCCCGTAGTTCATGAACGTTTCAGCTTCTGCCTCCAATCATCACTGGGTTACATTTACACACACGGTCTGGTTGGAATGAACAGTCACTTGATGTCAGCAGTATGTTGGGTCAGAACTTCTACCCTGCTTTGTAGGAGGCTTATTACACAATACCCTTCTGTTTTCACTTTGTAATTTAGATTTGTTGAAGTCAAATAAAGCTGACACAGCACACAGGCGTTAAACATGTGTGGCTTCCACGTGTAAAACAGAGTGAAGCACGTAGCTCCTTACAAGATGGCTGCCAAAAATATCACCAGCACCATTAGTGGCTGTTTCAGTGTTTCTCTAGTCCATTTAAAGAAGTAAAGGTAGTTTTGATTCTTTCAACATGATGAAAGGATGTCATTAGAAATCAGTTCTTAATTTATTTTGATGTCTAATGAAATTATGAGGACACCCACTTAGTTGATTTTACAACTCACAATGGTGTCCCGACTCCCACTTTGGGGCCACTCAGTAACTCTTCTAGGACAAACGGTAGTGCAGCACAGATAAACATGAACTAAACCCATTTCTGCACTTTAAAAATTGATGTCTGAGAAAAACAGATCCTGACCCCCGTCCTGTTGTTCCTGACACCTGCCCCCATCACTGGACTGCTGTGGTTGGGGACCCCTGGACTTGAGGACCAGCCTCGTTGCTTTGGTACTTTGTGATACAAGTTATGAAAAGTTGACTAAGTTCAGAACCGGCTGGAGCAGGACTTTGGGATGTTGTCAGAAGTGAGAACGTGTCTCCTCACAGATGGTCTTTGGTCTCGGAGCAGAGACAGATTCTCGAGCTTGTGGGTAGTTGAGGCAGCGACAGCTGAGATTTGGATCCAGCAGCAGGTGATGCCAAAGATCCAGACCTCTGAGTTCTGCTTCATTCTGTATTCTGTGAAGTCACACTCAGATAACTGACATGTTTTTCTGATCTTCAGCCTGTGGGACCACACTGTCCTCCACTAAGTCCACTTCCAAAAAGTCCAGCTGGTCACTGTCCTGAAACACGTTTTCCTCTTTGTCAGCCTTCTTGCTTTCGTCTTGGACTCTGATGCAGCTTTGGCACAGTGTGGATTTACCCAGGACAACCAGAACCAGGCAGATGGCGCTGACACCAAGCCCTGCTGCACATGAGTAAAAAGCAGCACCGTAGTCCTGAGTGACGTCCACCAGCACACCTGCAGCAGAGGATGGAAGTTGTATTACCAAAAACTCAAACCAGAACTAAACAAAGGAGCAAAGATTCTTACCTCCCAGTGGGGGTCCAGCCAGACCAGCGAAACTCTGGATGAAGACGTAGACCCCTACACAGGAGGGCATCTTCTGGATGCCCACCACTTCCTCCTCAGCCAGAAGAGGGATGTGTGTGGAGGCCACAGTGCCCAAGAAGAAGCCGTAGAGAGCACAGCAGACCACCAGGCCCCAGAACTCCCACACCACTGTGAAGGCCACCAAAACCAGGCTCAGCAGGACCACGCACCCCAGCAGAACCAAGGTTTTCTTGCAGCGGACCTTGTTTAACACGACCCCAATGGATAAGCGGCCGAAGATCTCAGCCACGGCCATCACAGAGAGCATGTATGAGGCCACGGTGGGCTCCACGCCGCGGCTCTTACTCAGTTCGATGATATAAAGCTGCGGCGCAAAGAAGCCCAGAGTGGCAAACAGGCCGAAGAGCGAGTACCAGATGAAGGGACCGTCTTTAAGCACTGAGAAGTCCAGGAGTTTGGGGCTGGAGCGGTGGACAGGACTCGCCTCTCCCCCGGTTACTTCCACGTCAAGACAGTCTTTAATTGGACTGGGAGGTGTGGACGAGGACTTCTCCCACCCCAACAGAGATCTGGCCTCTGGTTCTGCATTCCTCAGGTCTTCATCAGACCCGGAGAGGGACGTGACACCTGAGTCTCCAGACCCTCTGGAGATTGCTGAACTCATGGAGGTTCGAGTTTGTTCGTTCTCTATTTCATAAACATTCTGAATCTGCTTCAGAGAGGCAGAGTCCGACGGGCCGTCCTCCTTTAAGGGCTCCGGCCGGATGACAATGGGACGAAGGAGGACGCCGCAGCCGATCACAGAGGCCTGAATGACACCAAGTACGACGAGACAGTAGCGCCAGCCAATGTCTTCCTTCAGTCTGGTGAAGGCTGTGGAGAGATGAGGAAAATCTTCACTTTCACAAACTTTGACCCTAAATGATCCAAGTGTGAACACAAAGGAAGCTGCTGCCACTTTGTTAAATAAAGACGATGTCCTGAGGGACGTGAACAGTGAAGGTGTGCAGCTCTAGACAGGAGTGTTGTTCTGGACTGGAACTGAACAGACTTCATGCTTTTGGAGTTACACTGTGGCGAGAAACAGATAAGTTTTTGTTTTCGCTTGTCTGAGACTGTCTCCCTGCACAGCCATGGGTCCTGGTGAGAAGAAGGAGCAATCGGATCCAGCACCAGGTGCAGTGGTGGAGCCAGGGGGTGGCCAATGGTGGCCTTGGCCACCAAAGAGCCATCTTCAGACACTCCAGTCCTTTGAGGAAACTATTACGCAATAAAAAACTAGAAAGCATGGTTTCCTTAAATGATTGGGGAGGTCCGTTTACTTATATTACACCTGCATCTGACGAAAACCTGAGGAACGTGTTTACTTATTCTGTCGCAAAGTGAAGAGGGTGAACTGAAATATCCTTCATCGTGCATGTTGTAAGCATGTTAACATGAAAAATAAGCAACGTGCCAACTTCCATTTGGGTGTACAGCTACATCAAAAGAAAGGTTCCTTTCAAATATTTGGCTGCCATGTCAAAATCTAAGATGGCTACAACCATATTTATATAAACCCAACACACCAATCATTTGAGCAAACGATGCTTTCTAGTTTTTATATTGCTTAAAAGTATAGTTCCCTCGAATGATTGGGGTGGCCAAAGATTAATCTTTGGTGGTCAATGCCACCATTGGCCACGCCCTGGCTCCACCATTTCACCTGGTCTTTGATAATATTACACCATCTTCTTGCCAGGATCTGCCACTCTGCACTGCCAACAAACAAACAAGAAACTACCTCTGTTATAGGCCTGTCATGATAATAAATTTTGCTGGGTGACTAATTGTCTTGGAAATTATTGCGATAAACGATACTATTGTTTGAAATTTGACAATAATTAGTAATTATTGCCAAATTTAAGAAGAAATGTTGGTTAATTTTTGAGTGTAGTACCTTTTTTGACCACCGGATGGCAATACAAGACTGTTTGAACCAAAGGATGGATAGTGAGGGAGCGAGCAGCGTGTCTCTTTAAGAAAAATGGGAGGGAGGCCCCTTGACGTGACATGAACTGTCTCTGCTTCCTGTTTTTGGTGCTCAAAATGGCAGACGCTCGGTGTGATTTGAGCTCTTTAGCATAGCATTTTTCACACAAAGCTTTTAATAAAAAAATCTATAAAGAAGTTTTCAGCTTCTTTTTGCAGAGAAAAATAACTTTTTACATGAAGCCACGGGTTTCAACCGTGAATTTTGGAGCTTCGACAATTTTCCTGAGGTCGGCCTGTTAGCTTAGCTCGTAGCTTAGCTTCTCAGCTTAGCTGCTTTAAACGATCCAAAAACACAATTTTGGACGGTTAAAACAGATTTTAAACACAAAAAAAAAAGATCAAGAGAAGGGTCAGTGAAGAGCACCAGAGTTGAGCCTTTTGTCATCCAGTGTCTTCAGTAGAAAGAGAGAGACACGAAGAAATGATAATGCCGATAAATGAAAATGAGGTCGATGATTTTCATTTATCATGCGATTAATTGAGTTATTGGTTATTGTGACAGGCCTACTCTGCTATTATAGACAGTGTAACTCTTCCCCTCTTGAATATGTTGCACCAAAAACAATCATGTTTACATTCTCTGTTCAACTCCAGTCCAGAAAAACACTAGTTTAAAAAACTAAAAAACGTTCACTGTTTAACTCCCTCAGACAGGAGGACTTTGGTGTCCAGCTTGTTTATAAAAACTAGTTGGTGGCTGGAAACCTAATCTGCTCAAACAGCATCTGCGTGAGAAATGTTGCTTGTTTAAAGCTCATTTTTAGATCAGGAGATGACAACTCACCAGGTGCAAAAGCAAATATGGCGAAGGATTCTCCTGAAGAGGCGATGGAGGTAACGAGGGCTCTCCGTCTGGAAAAGTACTGGGCCAAGATGGTGATTGTGGGGAGGAAGGAGAGGCAGAAGCCGAATCCTATAAAACGAGAGAAGAGAAAGGGGACATGACAGCCACTGGCCCACATGGTAGGAACACTGCATGGCTGGGGGAGGGGGGGTGTCAAAGAGTCAAGCAGTCAGGTCTCTCCTTTGTCAAAGGTGGCGGGGAGGGCTGGAGATGAGACAGGTGTGCTACAGCTGCTGCTGAGACAAAATGCATGTAAAGACAAAGAGATAAGAGGAGAGAGAAGAGGCCGTCAAATCAGCGTTCCACTTCACTGACTGGTGTCATGGTGGGAGAGCTAGCAGTGCTTTCTGTTCCACAAAGGAAAAATAAAGGACCATTTAAAAAAGTTCATGTACAAAAACTTACTCCATCAGTTTGTTCTTTGTTCAATCTACACTTTTACTCAGTTTATTTCTTCCTCTTCGGTCGTTTCCTGCACAGCCAAAGTGGAAAGGTAGAAGTCTGAAAAGGAATTTGGTGTTTTTTTTGTTCTTAATTATTATTTTTTATTTCCGTTCCAGTTTTTTGAGCTGTGTCAGATATTCATAAAACCAGTACCTGACTGGGCTGAGAATAGTTGACGAATGGAAGAAAATGTTTACTGTGGATCTCAAATTCCTCAGTTCAGACACTCGCAGTTGTGAAATTTGAACGTTTTAAAAAGTTGACATATTTTCTCTCTAAAGTCTTTGACAGCATCTTGAACCTGTTGAGTTTATTTTCAGTAATTCTGTATTTTGACATCTCTCCTATGACAGGAAGCTCTCTACTAGGGGTGCACCGATTGCAGTTTTCTGGCCGATCACCGATCTGAGTGCTCTCACCATTTTAGCGTCTTTTCTCAGTAAAACAAAGTGAAACTTTAAGTGAACGACAACGACTTGAAAGCGGTCTTCATGCGTCCTCTACTGGGTATGTTGGCTGGTTCAAGTAGAAGTGTTTATATTGGCCAATAATGGGACCATTATCTCTGATACTGATGGGTCTCCAAACATCTATATTGGCCTAAATTATCGGCCCTGCTGAAATATCGGCTGGACTCTATTTAAGACCAACTTACATTTTTTTAAAGATGAGTTTAAGACATTTTAAAGATGTGTGGACGCCCTGAAAATTTCAGAAATGAGTGAAACTGAAAATGAGTTTTTTGTCAGTTTTCTTAAAATTATGTTTCCACCAGTCACAGCCCAGTAAGCCACTGGCTTAAAAAGCTAACATAGATTAGGTTCGTCACCTCTCAGTCACTGGAACGTTCTAAAAAAAAAGATTTAGGTGTTGACACTGCTAGAAGTCCCTTAAGTTTATTTATAGCAAACAAAGCAGGTATCTGCAGGAGGAAAGCAGTCACTTTGTCAAAGACAACTCACAATGACACGGACGTGGTGACAGAATGAGTTGTTAGGTGTTAGGCGTGTTTCTAATACCTGAGATGATGCCAAGAGTGATGTACATCTCAGTGATGGAACTAGTGAAGGCAGACGTGATCATTCCCAGACTTATGAGGAAGCCGCCCATCATCACCACTGGACGATAGCCAAAGCGGTTGCTCAGCATCGTTGCCAACGGAGCTGAAAGGAAAGAAGAACAGCCATTAAATTCAGATTATTGCTCGTGTGCCTCATTCCTGCTGACACTCCACTGTTTCCATCTAAACGTTGTGCTGAAAATCTGGAAAACCTCTTACAGTGTGAAGATGTGGAGACAGCCATAACGCTGCTACAACCTTCGTGCTCACCAGGTTCTCAATGACCCACATCCAAGAGCTGTGAGCACTGGCCCCATATCATGGACATGCTTCCACTGGGGTGACAAACCACCACGATCGGCCCCTCATAAAGAGAAGCCCCCTGTTTCAAGATCACACCAAGACCCTTAAAGTCCGTCCATGGTCTGGTTTTTTCATCATGGTTTAGTGTGAACAGGGTCCAAACCGTGATTGTGTCCACCTGTCTGTTCCTGAACCCTGACAGCTTATCGAAAACATTCACACTGACACAGGAAATAAATGATAAACAGCTGTTTATCATTTATTTCCTGTGTCTTTGCGGTCTAACTAAATCTGCATAGTTTGTGTTAGTTTAACCTTTCATGTATAAAATATTTGGCCCAATCAGGAGTAGTGTCCTTTGACCTCTGGATTTTGTAGCTTTTATACGTTTCCAAATATTTAAAATAAAATTCCTCACAGAAATACATTGAGATCAACTCCTGTAAAATCTTCATCTTCCCCAAACTGGCTCAATATTTAACTTCTTATGCTACGTTTAGCTTCATACCTGCAACTTCACAAGGGATGAAAAAGGTGCTTAGTGATTTTTAACATGTAAATAAGCATTCAGGTACACTCCAAGAAGAAAATCAGGGGAAAAGACAACATGCTTGAGGTAAAAGACATTTACTAACATATCCTAGTTTAATGAGGACAGATGGAGTCAACCCAAAAAATAAACTATAAACAAACAGCTGCAGCAGCAGCAAGACAAACACAGCACAACATTTAGCTAACAGCTAAAACTCATTGCTTAACTGTTTTGACCTGGACAATTATGTCCATGCACCTCTTTCATGCCCGCTGGCACTTGTACAGTGTAGTGTGTGTGTATGGGGATGGGGGGTCTGAACATTTTGAATAAACTAGATGTCATTTCCTACATTGTGGTGTATTTTAATGTGTTGTTAAACACCTACGTTTACCTCCATATGTAAACAATTGATGCAATGATTATTTTAGAGACACCTCGTTCAGCTAGTCCAGATCTGCATCATCCTGTTTTTAAACTCAAAATTATGAGTGTGACACAATTTATCACAATGACTTTAGGGGTGCACGTCACATTTGTTTGATTTAGTTTTGATTTAGTTTTATGTGTAACACAAGCAATGGAGACACTAAACAGCAAGTTTAAAAATAAGAATATTAACTTTACCCAGTGAACAGGTGCAGTTTTGTAATTCTTCAGTAAAACTTGTTAAGGTCCCCAAACCTTCATTTGTGTGTTTTGTCTGTAACAATCTTTAAGCTTAAATAGTGAAAGTGCACTGTGTTGTCGTCATTGTGTGTCCCCATACAATGACAACATTTGTGCTCTGCATTTGACCCATGACACGTGATACACCCAAGTGGGACAGGTGTCTTGCTCAAGGACACCACAACACACGGGCATGGCAGGGAATCAAATCTACGACTTTTAAGCCCCAAATCCTGCGTCGTACCACTGCGCCCAGTCCATCAGCTAAACAGATATTTACAAAGTTAGGATGAAACAAGACGTACAGCGAGGCCTGGTGACTGACCTGTAAAGGCAAAGATGAACACAGAGATGGAGATGACCCAAGACACACGACTATTGCTCTCCCTGAACTCCTCCATCAGATCCTGGAGGAAGATGCCCAGGGTCTTGATGACTCCATATGTGTTGACCTCCACCAAGAAAAAGGCCAGAGCCACGGCCCAGCCCCAGCCGCCCTCAGGCACCTCTGGGTAAACACTCGGGCCCAAACAGCGGGGGACGCCAGGCCTCTTCATGGCTACAGTACCTGAAACCAACATCCCAGAGATTAAAGAGGGAAACATCAAAACAAAAACCTGTGGATCCACTGATTATGCACATGCATCGTAATTGTAGTGACGACAAATTGAGTTGACACACCTGAATGTTTTGTAATTACTAAAACTTTTCAACTGTTTCCATCTGGGCCTTGTGTTGTGTTGAGTTTTGAAAACGTTCAATATTTTTACATTATTCACATCTCAAAGAGGCCAACACTTCTCTGTTCGTCTTTGTCTCATAGTACACAAACATTTAGTATCGAAACTCTTTAGTTTTTAAATATCACAACAAAAACTGTATATGTGACTTTTTGTTTGCAGGACTGACAGTTGAGTGATTTTATCAAGGCCACGCCGAGCCGACACAGATTCCTGTTCTGTACACAAAAGATGGAAAGGTCTCTGGTTTTAAGAAGTGAAGAGCGTGGGCTGAACCCGACTCCAAATATTGTTCAAAAAGCACCAACGTGTTTTTAATAAAACACCAAGTCTTTAATCTGTGACATGAATTCTGCTCTTTGTATACCCTGAATGCTTTGAGCTGACTCAGCGCTCTCAGGTGCCATGTTGGGAGGAGTGATGTAAGAGCCTGTGAATAATTCATGGTGACTGTCAGAGGTCAGCAAATAAAGTTTGCACCGGAGGGACAAACTGTTCAGTCAGGATCGCACGTGTTTACGACAAACTAAAAGGATTAAACTTGTATATCCCTTGAATTGTTACAAATTAAGCTTATTCAACTGCCTGTTACAAAACGTGATTACCGTACTTTTCGCCACATAAGTTGAACCTTTTTGCATTAATTTGCATGCCCTACAACTTATACGGCGAAGAGACTTATTTATGTTTTTTTTCCTCCATATTTAAAACCTTATTTTAGGCTGAGATGTGACTATTTCATTCATTCTGACATGGAAAATATTGAACACTACCATTTCCAGCCACTAGAGGGCGTTCAACTAATATGGCAAACCAAGTGACTCATTAATAGGTAAAAGTGGCTATAAATGAGACACCTGGCTTGCCATACCAAATCACCTTCATCTCGCTCTGGAACTCCTGCAGCAAACGTCAAATCAGCTGCATTTCACCGTGCTGCCCAGACAAAATGCAGCTGACTTGACCATTAAAGTGCATTTATTAAGGACAAGTTTAGTTGAGACACACCTTTACTATAAAGTCGAGCAAACAAATAATTGTTTTAAGTGCTAATCTTGTTCAATTTCTCCCATGCACGCTCCTACAGACGCCATTGGGCAGCCGGTCAATTTTTGGCACAACACCGGCCCACGTTTCCAAGTGGTCAGTAGTGACACATAATAGATGCAACTTATACGGCGGAAAGTACGGTACATTATTGATGGAGCCATATGTGAGACATTTAGTCATGTCACATCAGGAAAGGTGGGTGATGGTTACCAGTATGTGTTTACCATTAGGTCCTGACTTCTTAGTCTAAAAGTCAGGGTTAGATGTCAGAGGTTCAGATTTAGGGTAAGTGGAGTGGTACGGTTACTCTCAAACTACAGAAGCAGTGTTTCCCCTACAATTATTCAAGGAGGGGGCCCCGTCCGGTGAACAGAACTGAGGCCCCCAACACTACGCAGCTCCGCCATTTCTGGACGGGTTAAGAGATTGTAGCAGCTCAGCTCAGACGCCAAACCGTGAAAATCGAGCGCAATAAAAACGTACTGCTACGCTACCCCCCACTCCCCAATCAATAAGTGTCGGCACTAAGGTTCTCCTCATAAAAAGCACTCGGGTTGATAAACTGCAGCACGGACCACCGAGCTACAGCTGCTAGTTGATGGATGTAGAGTAGCTCAACAAAACTGACAGAACTACAACTGAAACATACAGCAGCTTTCAAACAAAACTGCTTCCAACTTGTCACATCTTCAATAAAATGTTACAATTCTTAATGAAATCTCATTTGTTGTTACAATTTTCTGTTTGGAAAAAAAAATAAAAATTGATCCACAAACATAACAAATGCCTTTATGTTTTCAGCCATTTTGAAGATGAGATTTTTGTGTCTGAAAAAAAAAAACCTGTTTCTATTCCATTCTTAATATTTTAGACCACGTAAAGTCATTTCCTCCTCCGGCTGAATGAACCGCACTGAAGTGGAGGAGGAAGGACGTCAGACGTTTCTGATAATCGTCCGGCTCAAACTCACAGTGTCTCCCCTAGAACAGTGGTCCTGGCAGGACGCTCAGGGTGGGAGGAGCGGGACATTTGGTAGGCAGGGCGCTCAGGGTGGGAGGAGCGGGACATTTGGTAGGCAGGACGCTCAGGGTGGGAGGAGCGGGACATTTGGTAGGCAGGGCGCTCGACTGTGTTGACAGGGCGGGGCGCCCTGCCTGCATAACGGTAGGGGAAACACTGGACATGATTTTTACTTTGTGTCACACATGTTCACAAAAATGTTGCTTTAAAAACAACTGAATCAGTCAGACAGAAAAAAAAATTACATTTAAAAAGACGAAAGTTAGTTAAACATTTACACATCTAACAGTTACTTAACAAACATCATTACTCATTAAACAATTAGTTAACATTCTTTACTAATAGTTAACCATCATTACTTGTCTGGAAGTTAATTATCTTTATTTAACTAACAGGTCAGATAGTTAACTATCTTTACTTACGTAACAAAACCATTTTTACTCAACTAACAGTTAGTTCACCATCTTTACTTAACTAACAGTTAGTTAACCATAATAACTCATAACACCTTTACTCAACTAACCGTTAGTTAACCATCTTTACTCATCTAACAGTTAACCATCTTTATTTAACTAACAGACAGTTAATTATCTTTACTTACGTAACAGTTAGTTAATAATTTTTACTCAACTAACAGTTAGTTAACATCATTACTCACAGTGAACCATCTTTATTCAACCAACAGTTACCCATGTTTACTTAACTGACAGATAGTTAACCGTGTTTACTTAACTAACAGTTAGTAAATGATAATTAGTCAACTAGTTACCCACCTGCAGAGCTGTGAAGAGGACTGAAGCAGCCTTTGGATGATTCGACAGTTTTTATCTGCTCGTTATTTCAATGCCTCCAACAATCTTTTTAAAATAAATATTCTGCGTGCTGGACAGAGGAGATGGCTGAACTAAGTCATCTGGTTAAGGAACATCCTGCTCTAACGTGCTTGTGTCTGAGCAGCATCTTTTGTCTCCTCGCTCTGTCCTCCTGCCTGTTCTGACAGCTCTTTACCGGCTCAAGCCGGTATTCAAACGCGGGCACGCGACTTCCTGAACGCGTGACGCTTCTTGACGTCTCGCTCACGCACGTGCAGCATCAGAGGTGCCGCGCGCAGCTGTCTGGTCGACATGAAAGCTCTGCGCCGGAGCCTGGACCGTGAAGGCAGCAGGACCTGGACCGTGAAGGCAGCAGGACCTGGACCGTGAAGGCAGCAGGACCCGGTTCTATTGAGACGATCTGTGCAGCTGTCAGTCAGAACCATCTTCAGTGAAGTTTTTGTTGGGTTCGGTTACAACGAGGGGCTGGACTCAGAACCAGTCTGTGGGTGGACCGGACCAGCTGGCCAGTTCCGGGTTCCGGTCTGGAGTCTGAAGCACTAGTTTGGCTGTTTTTTTGTAGGTTATTTTTAAATGTTTTAAATATATAATTGACCATTTAAATTTATAATTTATTTATAATATAATTTTAAAATAGTTTTTAAAGTGAGCATAATAAAAACGCTAAATTAAAGTGTTTTTGTGTGTGTGTTTGTCCCCTAAAGAAACGCAGCTTTATTTAAATATGAATTTTTATTAATCACTTTATTTGTTTCATGTTCCGGATGAAAATAAAATGGCACATTGGTCAAATGGCTGTGCAGCACGGTGGTGCAGATGGTAGAGCTGCTGCCTCTCAGCGAGCAGGCTGCCCAGGTTCAAATCCTGGTCCGGAGTCTTTCTGGGTGCAGTTTGCATGTTCTCTGCATGCGTGGGTGGGTTTTCTCCAGGTACTCCAGTTTCCTCCCACAGACCAAAAACATGCATGTTAGACTGATTGGTAACTCTAAATTGTCCCTAGGTGTCTCTGTGATGAACTGGAGATCTGTCCAGATGTCCCCTGCCTCTCGTACAGTAGCTGGATATGGGGACCAGTGACCCCCACGACCCGAAAAAGGAAGAAGATGGTAAAGATGATGGATGGATGTCAAACAGCAGATCCATTATGAGATGTCCACATTTATCCACAGACGTGTGTCCTTCACATTCATTCAAGATTAATTTACACAGGTTAATCCCATTGAGCCTCAGGGACTCATTTACAAGAGAGACCTGATTTTAACAAAGAGTCATGACAACAGCGACAACAATAGACAATCAATCATAAAGAATGCATACAATTTTTTTAACAAGTGAAAATTAAATAATAATTAGAAGGAAAGGTAGTGAAAAAAACATGTAGGTTGTAAGGAGCTGTAGAAAACTAAAAACAGGAACATGTCAGCATTGGTTTGTGCCAGGAATTTAGCAGATGTTTGCAGCCACTTAGAGAAGTCAAGGTCGAGAGATTCAGATTTTTTTGTAAGATATTCCAGGAAACAGGAGCGGAGTAGGAGAAGGCCCTTTTATCTAGTTCAGTCCTCACTGAGAGAACACTGCAGGTAATAATGTCCTGAGAGCGCACGCTGTAGCTGCACTCACACAGAGACATGTAGGAGGAGATGTATGAAGGCAGCAGACCAAGAAGTGATTTATAAGATGAAAATGTACCAGTGAGAGAGTCTGTGTGAAGTTAATGATGTCCAGTTAGCCAGTGAATACAGGGTGCAATGGTGGGTATGGTAGTTACAGCCAGTTATGAACCTTAGCACACTGTGATAGACAGCATCTGCAGAGTGCTTGTAGGAGCAAATAATAATGAATAATGAAGAAAAACAAAGACACAACGATCATTTCCTTCATCATAAACTTTAGAGAGTTTAAAGTTACTCTACT